AGAACCTCACCAATGCCCTTGGTGCCCAGTCCAAATATGTACTGAATGGGGCCTTTCTGTCCTTTAAGCCCAAACACAAATTCATGGAGCTTTGCATGCAGGACTTTGTGGATAACTACAACAGCTGGATCTGGGGGCACCAGGGCCCGCAGCTCCTAACGCGCGTCTTCAAGAAGTGGTGCTCCATCAGGAGCCTTCGGAGCAGTTCGAGCTGTAAAGGAGTGAGTACTCTGCCCCGTGAGGCTTTTTATCCCATTCGGTGGCAGGACTGGAAAAAATACTTCGAAGTGGTCAACTCCTCGAAGCTTCATCTCCTCTTTAATAACACCTATGCGGTGCACGTATGGAACAAGAAGAGCCAAGGAACCAGGCTAGAGATCACATCGCAGTCTTTGCTGGCTCAACTGCATTCTCATTTCTGCCCTGCCACGTACCGTATCATGAAGAAGGACTCTGAGCGGCAGTGACTCAAGGGTCAGCTAAGTGTGGCCTGGGAGCCTGCAGCTTTCCAGCTGTTCCATCACAAATGTACCTTCTTTTGAAATGAGGTGGTGACAGTTGAGGATAAAAGCCATTTGTGGGGTGTAGGTGGAGCCTGTAGCTTCAGCTGATTTCTGTGCAGCTCTTTGTCTTGGCTTTACCTGCCTACCAGCAACACTTTTGTTTCTCTGCAGGACCTTTCTTCTGCTCTGCTTGGTCACGTAGAGAAGTCTCGGGAGGGAAGCAAATGCTGGGCCACTTGTGGCAGCCTCCATCAGCCTGTCAGAGAAGTAAGGCCTCTCTCTGTGGCTATAAACCTGGAAGAGGCCTTTTTAGAAATGTGTATCAGCTGATTCTCAGCACTTTTAAAGTGCTCAAAGAAATGAAAATATGGGAGAGGAAATAACAGGAATTGAGGAGGATGTTAAGGATGTGCTAGAGGAAAATGTGGAGGAAAACAGAGAAGAAAGAAAGGGCTAAAGCAACTTTTCCTTTTCATTCCTTCTCTTCTGAAACCTTTGGTGGAGAAGACTTTCTCATGTCTGGTTTGAGCAGGGAGCAGTCTCTGTTTGATGTCATAGATCTAAAGACATAGATTTGGTGTGAGGCAGAACATGGATCTGAAGTCAGCTTATCACTGAGCATCATTGATGCTGTTGAGCATCAATGGTTTATTTTACAGTAGTGACAAATTAACAACCTGCAATGAGCAGGAGAGCTCATCCAAATCATGCTTGAAACTGCACCTGACACAGGAAGAACTGAACACAAGGTTTGTCTCTGTGACCAGATGTCTGTAACTGTGTCTAAGATGCATCAGAGTTTTCAGCAATTGGATGGGTCCTAAAGGAAACACATGGTATTTCCAAGTGTTTCCAAGGCTATGGAGACCTTGGTAGGGATCCTGTGCTGTTTAAATGTAACTCCATTTATGAGTCTTTTATGGTGGACTTCTTCAAATAGTCTGAAGTATTCCTGCAATTCATTGTCCAGTGGTACAAATTTCTCAGGGAGGTCTTGAGAAGGCCAGTAGAAATCTTTACTCTTCTCCCTGAGCATCCTCCTGAATTGCAGCAGAGAAAGCTAATGTAGCTCTCACAAAGTGCTGTTGTGGCTTTGAGGGTTCCCACCACAGAGGCAAGTTTGTTGGACAAATTGTGAGAGAAAAGTTGTCTCTTGCCTAATGATATATTGATGCTTTTACAGTACTTGTTGGAAAATAATAGAGAAAGAACAGTGAGAAACGAGAATAAAGTTAAGACCATCTACATGGTTATGTATGGCCCCCTCCACATTATAAAGGGGATTGCTGAGGCATATGAGCTTGGCCCTATGATAGGGATAATGCAGATGAGCAGAGCATTGGCCATCCTTTCTCCTACACTGCTAAGAGATTATAGTCTTACTGTAAAAATTTTTCTGCCTCCAGTGTGCCTCCTCTTCTAACGCCTAGGAACAGCAGTGCGGTGATTCAGTGGCCCCTTTGATGACCATGAGTCAGTCAGATCTTCAGTGTCACCTGACCCCAAAATGACAGCTCTTTCACATGGTGCTGCCCTCAAGCCCTCTCAGTGTGACTCAGTTTCTAGACCTGCAGTTGTGTGAGGCCACTTCTGTTTCCCAGGTTAACCATAAGCAATGTGAAACTTTTTCAGTTCAGCCAAGGCAGTGGTCAAAAGTGTCAAAGACTGTGCATGCAGCATTTCTCTGCTTGTCTCAGGTTTATTTGTCTCTTCTTTGATGATAAAAATGAAAGACAAATTGCCCATCACTTTTACAAAACAGTTCCCTGTCCCGCAGGGAGCATGGCTATGGGAGCTTAAAGAAAGTACTTTTTTTTTTTTTTTGAATGCTGAGCTGTCTGATGTTGAAGACCAGGGCTGCTTTGATTGAAGGCTACCTTCTGTGAGTTGGTAGGGTGTGAGCTCTGTGCATAAGCAGCTATTCTGGAGTTCAGAAGGTGCTAGAAACGCCCCTCCAGTGACTGGCACCACATGTGTGTATGTATGTAATGCTGCCCCTTTTTTCTGCCCAGCTTTATGGTATATTCTGGAGGCATTCAGGATTTTAAATGTCTGCAGCTCTCCCAACACTGAACATCTTTAAGAACAAAGAGTTTGTGGGGAAACAGCAGGTCTTCCTGACTGTATAAGCATTCTTCAATACCCTAAGTAGTATAGATGGATGCTGTTTTCACTCCTTACTTCTACTGTCACCACTCTGTGACTTTTTTTTTTTCTCTGCTTTCTTTAGAAGCAGCTGCAAAATTGTCAGCTCTGGCCTACTGTATGGTTAGTGAGGCATGTTTTCTCCTTCTACTGGTTCCTTCTGGTCTGGGCCCTTTGGGCTAAACAACAGAAGTCTCAGTCAGCTAGGCACCCCTATCAGAGATGGTAAGACGGTGGTTGGTGATCACAAAGGTATAACAGGGGACTGTACTGTGGCAATACCATGAAATTACTATATGAGTGTTTGAGACCCACTGCAATAAATATCTATCTTGATGTATCACTGTTTATTCTAGGAAAGTGCCTTTTTGGATAAGTGAAATGTGTTGGTTGTTGTTCTTTGTTTTCCCCTGAAGAGTCAAAGTTCTGAGGTTTGATAAGGAGAGAATCAAACCAAAGCAGTCTTTGCTTTTTTTCCCTTTGTCTTGTGAAAGAGAAATAAATACAGGTTTTACTACTCTCTGCCAGGATGTTCCATTTTGTTCTGCAAGGCGTTGGTGGTAGGTCTGAGCAATTTGTTAGTTATTTTGGAGAAAAGCATTTTAAATTTGTGTCCTAAAGTAACTCACTAAAATTAGGAGTGTGGAATGAACATGAGTCAAGTTGAGCATAAACACATGGAAAGAAGGCTCTGCAGACCGTGACTATGTGCCATCTTTGGGACTTGAGCAGAGGGAACACAAGGGAATACAGAGAAAAGCACGATGTGTGGTACTGATTCCTAATCCAACCAGGTATCACCCCATCACTGATGACCTGCAGTCTATCTGAAGCAAGGCATTTTAGTCTCACTTTGAAGGTCTGGAAGTTACAGAGATGTTCAGGAGAAATTGTGTTGCTTTTTTCCTGGATGATGGACTATAGCTTCCCTTAATAGTGACAGTGTCTGTGCTCTTGCAGACCTAAAAGCGGAAAGCTTGTACTGCAGCCATTCATCTCCCCACCTGCCCTTCAGAGCCTGATCTAAAGACCTTGGAGTCCAGGGGAGCAATCTGAGAGACTATGAAAGGACTGGTGAGGTCTAGTGTGCAGAGAAGTTTTATTGTGATGCCTTGAATCAGTAGCCAAGGAAACAGCAGCCAGGGGTGGGAGGTGGAGGTGCAGAATTGGAGTGCAACAGAAGAGGAGTAAGGAAGGACCAGTAGGGTTACCCTTGACCTGGTCTCCTGGGAATAGACTGTGTGATGATTATTTTCTCTGTGTTGGCCGAGAGCTGTCCTATGCCAGGAGCTCTTGTGTTGGAGGAATCTAGGATGTGCAATAACTAGTAATGCTCTATAGGGCTCTTTTTACCCCTGTTCTTCTCCTTCCTGTTTCTTCTCCCTCCTTCCAAAATGTGTAGTCTAGGAAGGCTGTGGTGCAAATATGTTAAGAGCCTTTCTTGGGCTACTACAGTTACCTACCTTAATCTTACATATGTTGGGAGCTGAGGTCTGCCTCTAGGACTGGTTTGTCTGTAGCAGGAGAGAAGAGGAAGAATAAAGCCTTCCACATGCTCTATTTGGATACACGATTTGTGAACACCAACGCTCTAGTTTTTCATATGTACCTCAGATTCATCCGTCTCACATATTTGTGACCACTCCCTGCGTGTGCTTGGCTTGTGGTCTCTCTGGTATCTTCTTCGCATCCGCTCCTGGAAGTCAGATGAATAGGCACAGTCCGGAAAAAAACCCTACAGGAGGAAGTCACTTCAGCTGCACACTGCCATTACAGCTCAAGCTGAGATCTTGACCTTTAAATTTGTATGTCCTGATGGAGCCGAAGAGCAGCTGCCATGGCTCTGCAGTATGTTGGTAGAGGTACAGGGAGTAAGAAAGTACTTCTTGCAAAATGGAATCTGTGTCTAGTAGGAAAATAAGGTAGGTGCATAAAGTCTGGCAAGTTAAATATGAAACTACCGTAAGGCTGTACAATAAATTGCTTGAAAAACAATTTACAAAAGATATTCGAGCTACCAATGATTTACAAAAGATATACAAGCTACCAACCAGGAATAGGAAGCCTGCTAGAGAGGCAGAAGGAGGTGAGAGATTGAAAGGGAATTCAGAGATCAGTTTGAAGCAAAACAAAATCAACTTCTACATCTGGCTATAGGTAAGAGGAATTTGGGGATGTTTCTCTACAGTGTAATCCTTCCTTATGGGGGATGCATGCCACAGTCTCTTGTGCATCACATGTTCATGGAATACGTGTCAGGACTGAATGAACAGATAGATGATAGGATCTGATGAGATGCATCCATGAGTGCTGCAGGAGCTGGCTCTTGCCATTGTGTGTTATGCTTCAGAGGTCATAGAGATCAGAGGAAATGGAAGGAAGCAAAAAGATCTTGCTTATCTTCAAGGTATGCAAGGAAGAGGACCAAGGGAACTACAGGCTGATCAGTATAGCTATGAACTTTGGGAAAGTGGTGGAGAACATCCTCCTGGAACTCTTCTGCTAACATGTTTAGGACGAGAAGGTGGTTAGGAGTAGCTGATGTGGATTTACAAAGGGGAAATCATGCCTGGCCCAAACTAATAGCCTTCTATGGTGAAATGTGGAAAGAGCATTCGATACTGTTTATCGTGACTTCAGTAGGGCTTTTGACACAGTCTCTGTAACAGCCTTGTAGACGTACTGATGAAATGTGGACTACATAAATGCAGTGAGGTGGGTCAAAAACTGGCTGAACTTCTGGACTTGTGATGAGTTCAGGTGGAGAGCAGTAACTAGTGCTATACCCCAAGGATCTGTGCTGGGGCCAGTACTTTCTT